AACTGATTGTTCAACGATGATCCGTAGTGTCGCAATCTGGTCTGTGCACGACCGATCCTTACGGAATCCAGCCTGTTGATCCCTAAGTTCGGCGTCTACTGCGTCTTTCATCCGATTGAGCAGCACTCTGTTGAAGACTTTTCCTGGTACTGATAACAAACTGATGCCTCTGTAGTTTTCACATTTGCTCAGATCTCCTTTCTTTGGTATCTTGATGAGATATCCTTCTTTCCAGTCCATTGGCACTTGTTCCTCTTCCCAAATCTTCTTCAATAGAAGGTGAAGCATGTTTGCAGTTATTTCAATGTTTGACTTCAGTGCTTCTGTTGGTATATTGTCAGGTCCTGCCGCCTTCCCACTTTTGATTTGTCTGATGGCCATCTTGACTTCTTCGATCGTTGGTGGAGTGTCATCTATTGGAAGGTCAGTGTGTGCTTCGATGTTCGGTGGATTCAATGGAGCTGGTCTATTCAGTAGTTTCTCGAAGTATTCTGCCCATCTTTTCCTATGTTCTTGAATCTCAGTGATTGTCTTTCCTTCCTTGTCCTTGACTGGTCTCTCTGGTTTGCTATATCTTCCTGCCGATTTCTTCGTTGTATCATATAGTTGTTTCATATTCCCTTCTCTTGCAGCTTCTTCCGCCGCCGTTGCTAGTTCTCCCATGTATTTCTGCTTGTCGGCTTTAATGCTTTTCTTCACTTGCTTGTTTGCTTCTGCGTAGTTTGCTTGTGCTTTGACTTTCTCTGCTCGTGTTCGGCTGTTGTTAATTGCTAGTTTCTTGTTCTTCCTTTCTTGAATTTTGTCCAAGGTTCCCATAGAGATCCATTCCTTCTGATGATGCTTCTTAGGACCAAGAACCTCTTGACACGTTGAAGTTAGTGCTTCTTTTATCCCTTTCCAGTTGTCCTCCAAAGTAGTTTCTTGTTCTTTCAGTAGATCCTGTAGAGCTTGGAACCTGTTGTTGAGAGTTATCTTGAATTCATGGAGCTTGTCAGTATCTCGAAGGAAGGCTGTATTGAACCTTCGTAGTGCTGTTTGTCCAGTTGTCCAGTGTTTCTTTAGCTTCAGTCTCATCTTGGCCACAACCAGGTGGTGATCTGAAGCTATGTCAGCTCCTCTCCGGGTTCTCACATCTTCCATTGATCATCTGAATTTTTTGTTGATACAGATGTGATCTATCTGGTTCTCTGTGGTTTGGTCCGGTGAGATCCATGTAGCCTTGTGAATGTGCTTGTGTGTGAATATTGTGCCGCCTATAACCAATTTGTTGAATGCACATAGGTTTGCAAGTCTCTCCCCATTTTCATTTCTCTCTCCTAATCCATGTCGTCCAATTACATATTCATATCCTGTATTGTCCACTCCAACTTTAGCATTTAGATCTCCCATCAGGATGGTGAGGTTCTTTCCTGAGCACTTTTCTATGATTGATTGCAGCCTTTCATAGAACTGATCTTTATCATCGTCGTTGCTATCATTGGTGGGTGCATAACATTGGATAACGTTCATTGTGATCCCTTGCTTCTTTGTTCTGAATGATGCTTTGATTATCCTGGGTCCATGCGATTCCCATCCCACAAGTGCATTTCGTGTTTCTTTGGACAGCATTAGAGCAACTCCCTGAGTGTGTGGAGCATTTTCCCCTTCGTGACCGGAGTACAGCAGCATCTCTCCTGTACCTAGACTTTGTTGTCCAGTTTGTGTCCAATGGGTTTCGCTGATTCCAAGTACTGCCAAGTTGTATCTCCTCATTTCCATTGCTATTTGGCTGGTCTTCCCGGTCTCCCACATTGTTCGGACGTTCCATGTACCTATAAAGAGTGTTGCTCTGGTTGTTAGAAGGTGCATCGGTCTCGTGACTTCCGAAGAACTTCGGCTTTCATCATGAGACGTCATTATTCCTTCAACTCCCAGGGCAGAGTTTAAATGGTTTGAATTATTATTTTTTCTGGTTAGAGTTTTTTTAGCGAGTTAGCTTTTCTACGGGATGGGGTCGCTAACCCCATGCCCAACCCTCCTCCTTTACCCGGGCTTGGGACCGGCAGTAACTCTAGAAGAGCTACAGGCGGAGTTATTCTAGCTATAGACATTATAAAATATCATGCAGATTTAGCGTAAACGTTTTGGTAAAGCATTTGTAAAAGAGTCTGATTAAGTTAGTTCTGTAAATCAACTTCTAAGAGTTCCACGTTATGTTATATTGCTAATTTCCTGTGAAAAACGATCATCTTTTAGTTGAATGATGTAACTAGAATAAGATTCTATAGAACTAGTTTTATCTAAAACCAGATTGTTTTATTGAGTCACATGTGGTTATCCTCTTTTTACCAAGAATACATAACTAACACTTACCCTTAGATGTAAATGCGATGTCAGAAACACTGGTGGTTGAGTAAAAGAGATAACTAAACACCCTCTGAATTCATGTTTCGAACAATCTATGCAATAAACTTATAGGTGCATAGGTGCAACTCAAAAAAGCAAGGATAATAGATCGCCATCACGGAATATCGATCAGAGTTGTTTAATTTAGGATTAACTACTTACGTAGGGTTGTAGGGCTAGGGAATTGTCACTAAACCCTAACCAAATTATACGATAGGCAGGTCACTGAAAACCGAACCATTTATCGAGTCTTGTCTAGGTCAAGGACAACCGACGCATACCAACTAATTGCACGCCATGAAATGACTAATTGAGCAGTGATCGCACTTTGTTCCTTCAACCTATTATTACTAATATATCTCTTAAAAAATTCACATTTGTTCGATACGGTCACCAGAATAGACACAATACCTGGATACTACGAATGGGTCGTCCAATTTTGGTGTTAACTGAGAGATTTGACTTCGATGGAAGCTAGGAGGTCACACCATCCCCATCTAACTAGAGTAGCCAACAACCTTGCACACAGATCACCTACTTTGGTGATGTATAGGGTTTTAGGTCCCATTAATTGGACAAATTAGATATACGAAATTTTGATGATTTTGAACATTATTCGTAAGCGATCTTGAGTTCATTTTAGTGGAAGGTAGTGTAAGTGTTCCATATAGTAGAAAAGGCAGTTATATAATGTATTTTTTAACAACAGTTTTAAAGCAAATGATTAAATCATTTGATTCACAAAAGTGAGTTAGTAACCACTATGTTTTGTTTTTTGAATCAGACTCAACGACTGACTGTATGGAAGTTGTTTGTCGTAGACTAAATGTTCTCATGTTGTAGCTAGTGTTATATATAGAGAGAGATGAAAGGGATCAACGTCCTACTTACAATTTATTCCAAGAGTTCACTTGATCAGACATGTTTCACCGAATAAATAAAAGTTTATAACTGATTATAATTAATAAACTACCGAGAGGGTGTTAAACCCAAATGATTGTTGGTGAATTTATATCATCACTGGTTTCTGTTCACTTCCTACACGAAATCTTATCCATTAGTTATAAATTACTAAGGGTACAACGATCTGCTTAAATTCCATCAGAAAATTACTTTAGTCATAGAAAAACTATGATTCCCTTACCCTCATAAAACTGTATTTTTTTGAATAATTTAGGCCTTTAAATAAACTAATTTGGGGGATAAGCAATATTGTTTTAGTCCTCGATAATATATATATATATATATATATATATATATATATATATATATATATATATATATATATATATATGCCTGTATAAGTGGATGGATGTACCAGCTCATACATTTATTTCTCTTATCAGCTTAAATATTAACTACCTGGAACTATTAATCGTTCGATCGCATATAGACACATATTTACTTGTTACATTCATTCATTCATTTCCTTCGTGGTATGCTTGTTGATCACATATATAATTTAAGCTATTTTGTCGAAACAGTGTTTAACTTTCTGAGAATGATACGCCGTCGAGAATTATGATAATACCATTTGTCCGGTAGATCGATATACGAAGTATGGAAATAACCTCAAAGATATCATCCCTATCATAATCAGAGAATAAAAAGTAAAGATTCCCATTAAATAAGTCATTTATCAATCGAACGTCCTAGCTGAAATCTAAATAGAGACTTCAACTTGAATTTATCGCCAACTTACAACAATTTCAAAAAGTTAACCATTATTAATGTATAATTGGTTGTTGATATGAGATTTAACATTTAAAAAATTGTAATCATAAGCAAATATGGATAGTGGCTAGTAATGAAATCCAAGACGCTCGTTTCGTCCCATTTGGTATTTGTCAATTGGATGTACCTGCATCTCAGAGTTGATATTCACTCCAGGATTCGAACCCAGTACTGTTCTCTTCAAATGTTAGTTACAGCTTAAATAAACAATACTAAATAAATTTAAAAATCTGTAATTATTTAAGCATTTATTATTTTTTTAAAAAATTTGACTTATCTATACAATATAAATACAATATTCATTTAATAATTTAAAAATAACCAACAAAATTCAATATTCAATTACAATTAAATAATTAATAAATAACACCATTGAATCATTGATTATCGACTTAACTTTTAATTGTTAATAAGCCTTTATCATTCTCTTTGATTGTTTTTGTTTTTTTCTTTTGAAAAATAATATTTTAATTAAATAAATAATTTGAATAAAATAATCTTGAAATAATAATAATAATAAAATCAATAATTATTGATTAAATTGAATATTGATTAAATTGATTAATTATTATTGTATAAGTAATATGTTTGTTTATTAATTTATTATTTATAATTTAGGCACATAGTTATATATATATAAGAATGAAAAAATAATAATATTTATCATACAATAATAAATACAGTAACTAAAACATTGAAGAGTTTTTTTTTTAAAAAAAAAGAAAAATAGCATAGAAACAAATTTGAAATCAAATAATTGATCCTTATGTATAATTTCTTTTCTATTAATAAACAGGATTATTACCATTATTATTATTATTATTATTAGTAGTAGTAGTAGTAGTAGTAGTAGCAGTAGTAGTAGCAGTAGTAGTAGTAGTAGGAGGAGGAGGAGGAGGAGGAGGAGAAGGAGGAGGAGTATGATTATTGTTCATTAATTTCGATAATTTTATTTATTAACTTCAAAAGGGGGTATATTCTTAATGAATTCTAGTTAATGTGAAACAATTTACAGGATGACATTTATTTGATAAAACAAGATTATTTAATTTATCTGTATAATTAATCATATTTGTAGTTAGTTGATGTTCATTTTCAAGATAGATTTTATTTGTATTTATTAAATTATAATTATTATTCTTATTATTCTTATTATTATTACTTTCATTATTATTATTATTATTTTGGGATATTAATATATTATCTGTATTATAGGCAGAATGTAATGTGAATGAATTAATTGAAGTAATACATGGAGTCAAATTGATTGATGGTTGTTGTTGTTCTTGTTCATTGTGTGAAGTTAACTTGTGCAGTTCATTTGTTGAATGATGATCATGATAATGAGAACAGTTAAGATTATCTTCAAAATCAATTAAATTAGAATTTTCACATTGTTTTGCTTGTATATTCTGATTTGTTTGACAATCAGTTTTATTTAAAACACTCATTATTTGGTTATGTTCTAGTTCATTGTCAATATCATTCATGTCATTTACTCTTCCTTCTTCTTCTTCATCATCATCCACATTATCGTCATCATCATCATCATCATCATCATCTTGTATTAGATCGTTTTTATGTGGTGATGTTGAAGATGGTGTTGTTTGACTGATAGTAAAATCATCTGGATTGATTTGACTAGATTGACTATCACATTCTGAAATGGAATTGCCTATCATTTCTGAAGAACCACAGTTAGAAGATGTAATTAAACCACTTGTTAAACTATTATTAATATTATTATTTACAGACGTTGAAGTATTTTCTTGACGGACTAAATTACGCCGATATTTTGCTCGAGCGTTTTGAAACCAAACCTAAATTTGATTTTTAAAAAAAGAGATTTGAATCCGTTTGTTTATTACAATATTTATATAACATATAGATTCTTAAATAATTATATAAAAATTATATAAAACATCCAAGCCATATAATTAGTTAATTTGTTAAGATTTTTCTATCTTTTTTCTTATGGAGATTGATTCAGTCGACAAATTAATTATGTAGGAAGGATATGAAAAGAGTATTTTGTTATAGAATCAGTTGATTCTAATTTAGTTCATATATTTATTTGAATAATTTAACAAGAATTCGCCTAATATTGTTTGTTTGAATCTTCCCATTGATGTTTAGGACTGCAACTGGTCAGTCTCTTATTGGCATATGTGCATATTGTGCGTATCGTCTTGATATTGCCTTAGTTCACAAGCATTATAAGCAATGATGGATAGTGACTAGCAGTGGAATTCAGTTTGACGCGCGTTTCGTCCTATTTAGGGCTCGTCAACTGGATGTACCTGCATCTCAGAGTTGATATTCACTTTGAGACTTGAACACAGTACCTTTCGCTTCGAGTCCCAGAGTGAGCATCAACTTTGAGATGCAGGTACATCCAGCTGACGAGTCTCAAATATGATGAAACGCGCGTCAAACTAGATTCCACTGCTAGCCACTATCCATCTTTACTTATAACTTAACAAGAAGTTATTTATTTTAAATTTATATGTAAATATCAGACAAACAAATCAACATAAACTTCTGTGGAAGTAATTTTCAAAAAAGATTAATTTCAAGATGTACTGTAAATGTTCACTTTGTTTTCATGGACAAATTGATGAAATAGTTATAAGATTACTTTTAGGCTTAATTTTTTGTCAAGTTCATTTGGATCAAATCAGAGAACAAACTCCTTAGAGGATATTTAAGAACAAGATTTATGCTGTTATTATTATTATAACTGATCAGAATATCAATGTTGGGAAAAGTTTGTATCTTTTTTACAGTGTTCACTTGGTAATCACTTTCACTTGTTAGGAAGAATGTAATAATAAACCAATTCGAACTTGTTCATTTTCAAATATCTATTGTAAGTGTAATAATTTTTACACTTATGTAAGTTATTGCAAAAATGATTAAGATTTAATTACAGGAAATAAATAGTTAGTACTTTTCTATTATTATTCACAATTAATAGATAGTTGTCATGAACACAGTCAGTGTAAGATTAATTTTTCAATGAGTAAGACATTAATTTACTGTCGACCTTCGAGCGTTATTAAAGTGGCCTTCAGAAACATCAACCACTTACTAGGTTCAGAATGGATTTTTTTTACAAATGGTGTTAGTAATAATTTCGTATGGATGAACGAACTTCGCTCAACAATCATTGAGTCGATATCTTAAATCTGATTGATTTATCCATAAATAATTGTCCCGCTTCTTTTGGACACAAAATAATTAAATTTTGAGAAGTCAAGAATATCAGTGAGCGAATTTATGGAGATTGTAGTATTTTCAAAGTTGAATTCAAGAGTCGATCTAAGCTAAACAACGATTAAAAATCTGGAAGCATTGTACAGCCGTTCCGTCCTATTATGGCACTATTCACAAGTGCGTATCCACGATCCCGTACACTCAATTCGAAACCAGAAATTTCAATTTCGCGCAAGAACGCTTAACCTCCAAACCACTGAGCCTACATCCAACGGTGTCAGTGTCTAACTTGAATCGATACATGATCTTGCACAACCGTTCATCGATTGTTTGAGGTGGATAACTGTTTCCACGGAATACGGATTGGGCTGTACTGATCATGGCTTCTCATTAAAATTGCAGGAAACCCATTTTGAAGCTAGTGACTAGTAATCAGGATTGTGGATGCTCAGTGTTGGAGTTCTGTGCTATGAGGAAACGGTCATCTACTGCTTCCAGATTTCCAATGATGGTTTAGCTTAGACCAACTAGTGAAATCATGATTATTTTATAAAGTAATTTGAAAACGAAACTAGTCCCAATTGTAAGGAATATGAAGAACTGTGAACTAGATGATTATAGATCAGAGGGGGTTTTGTGGAGAATTTAGTATTTTCACAGTTGAAATCATGAGTCAATTGAAGCTAGACCACCATCGAAAACCAGTGCTTCCAGGTTTTCGATGGTGGTCTAGCTTCAATTGACTCATGATTTCAACTGTGAAAATACTAAATTCTCCACAAAACCCCCTCTGATCTATAATCATATGCTCACTAGTGACTGACTTCAAGAGATATTTCCTTGAGTTCTAGTGGGAAGCAGTGGCCAGTGGAGTTCTACCTGGTCTGTTGTAGAGATATCATCTCACTGAAGACAATTGGTGAACGGTCGCTCAATATTGTGGATTGGTTGAAGTTAGACATTAACACGGTTGGACGCCAGCTCAGTGGTCTATCGGTTAACGGCTTCGGCTCGAGACTGGTAGGTCCTGGGTTCGAATCTCGCTCGCGAGAGCGGGTTCGTGGATGCACACTGCTGAGGAGTCCCATAATAGGACGAAACGGCCGTCCAGTGCTTCCAGGTTTTCGATGGTGGTCTAGCTTCAATTGACTCATGATTTCAACTGTGAAAACTAGATGATTAGTTAAAAAAATTTATATACTTTCTTCTGATATCTTTTCAGCTTTTTTTCAATCTTTTTTACAGAAGACTACAAAATGAACTGATAAAAATAGGATCAAGTGTGTTCATGAGTAGGACGTTTGACAATACAACACCGTATAATGAATAGTTCTCTAAACATTGTAGCTAACAAGAGCTAAGCTGAATAACAATTAACTTCATCACGGCAAACTGAACAACTATTTCATTTCAGTTTAGTAGATGGAGATTAACATCACTGATTAACTTCAACATGAATCTTCTATAAGCTGCCATAAAATGACATAACCAATGACTGAATGAAAGTTTACAAATTCGAATTTCTTTTAAAGCGAAACTCAATACTTAAAAGTAAGTTTATTTGTGCTAACAATTAAAATGATTTCTATGTACTGAAAGTGTTTTCATTCCAATAATGTTGTTTACATAGATGAGATAACTGATCAACAGGTCCCTGTTTCTGGTGCCTCTTGCATACATTATTATATATAACTCCCTCCAATTTATCCAATTTAAACAGCTATCAAATCTAATACAATTAATACCCATTTGCATAAAAAAAACATGGCAAAATATGACACACAAAAATGGTTAGCCTACCTGTAGAACACGTTTTGACAATCCTGTCTTCTCTGTTAATACTTTTAAATCTTTAACATCAGGGTTATGGTTTATATTGAAATAAGCTTTCATTGTCCTCAATTGATGATGTTTAAAGGATGTACGCATACGTTTTTGTCTGGTAGTAATGCCTAGATAAAAATTTGTCCCACTGTTGAAACATTCGTTCTCTATATTTAAAATAAGAATTAAAAAAATATTGACTAGGAAAGTAAAATGCATAAATTTAAATATAAGTCCAACTGCTCATCAGTTGTGAATAAGCCGTGGTAACAGCCAAGACATTTCTATAGAATTTTGTTGGCCAGTGAAATTAGTTTATCCTACCTTTTTGGACAATCCTGTGTAATTTTCTTATAGCTTGATAAACTATTGATACTGCTACTTATTACAACTATGGAACAAGTACTCCTTTGTATTTGTTATAACGGAATAAAACTGATATAGCTCGATATAGGAATTAGTATAAAACTAAAGAATGCATTAAATAACATCTTAAAAGTGACCAGTGTCGTCAAAAATTGCAATGGGATATGTGTCATTTTTAGATAACCGGTCAAAAGTTAAATTTGAATATGTCGAACTAAGAGTAGTTGACATTAGTTAATCAATAATTTAATGTATGTATGTAGTTGATAAGCTAACCATCTTAACTAACAAATGTAATTTAATTACTGAGTTATGTTCTTAATTCTCGGAAATTTTGTTTAATGTAAAATATCTAAAAGTCATCAGAAGGTTACTCTACATTTTCTGGTCAATAAACGTAAACCGGAGCTGAGAGGTAGATTAATGCATCGATTGCCGTTTGGAAGCTAATTTATATATGTAACACAATCGAGAAGAGAATTGACTGATAGTTGACTATTTCAATTACTATTCAAAGAGGAGAACAAGTGAAACTCAAATGTCATACCTTTATAATGAATCCTAATGAACTCTAAATTAGTCCCAGGGATTTCTATTAACATATCTTGTTACTTTTTGTCGATTCATCTCCTAAGTAACTTGTATAAAGATTAGAAACTAATTTCGACCTTATAATCCCTTACATAACTATAAGAATTTATAAACATGTATCTGGAGTAATAAAAATCCCATAAAGTGAATATATGTTGAGTGGATTAATGTGTTGATCAACCAAAATGGTCTTTAATCACTAAAAATAATTTTCACTTGACACTTTGGACGACCAATTTATTAGATCACTTAATTAAACAAACTTCATGACTTCAAGGAGATTGGTTTATTGTGGGATAGTTCCTGTTAAGAAAATCCACCAGTTTTTGGCGCTATTGTGTATGAATTTAAAAAAACAAAACAGGAAATTTATTTCATTTTCGTTTGAAAATCCATTTTTGAAGGTATACCTAAAGTTTTGGAGTTCACTATTCAATATCAATACCAATCATTTCTAGTTTGTTTTTTCAAAATATAGTTTTTTCGAAGAGTTTATCCTACAAATCATAATCACATGGATATTTATTTACAACCGATGTAGCGTTCTAAACTCTGACATCAGTCTACCACATTTGGATTAATATTAATTCATCAGTCGAGAATTGATAACACTTATTAATTGTATGTTATACTAAATAAATTCTCGGTAATAAACTATCACAATCTTTAGCAGAGATGGATAGTGGCTAGCAGTGGAATCCAGGACGCGCGTTTCGTCCTATTTGGGACTCGTCAGCTGGATGTACCTGCATCTCAGAGTTGATGACGAGTCCCAAATAGGACGAAACGCGCGTCCTGGATTCCACTGCTAGCCACTATCCATCTCTGCTAACCATGCTTGTGAATTAAGGTATATCGAGGCAATACGCACAGTATGCACATATGCCAATTAGAGACTGACCAGTTGCAGTCCTAACAAATCGATGGGAAGATTCAAACAAACAATACTAAGTTGAATTTATCATAATCTTTGTTTATTGAATACCTTTGTCTAATTTCATAGAAATAGTGTTCATTCAAGATCACCTATGTTTTTATATTGAATTTACAATTAGCCTATGGATACATCATTTTATTAAAATATCATTCATTATTCTGAAAAAGTCAGTAATAAATATCAAGACAGTTTACCATCATTTATTCCAAAATGAATCAATTAATAAATAAGTCAATGTTTAAACTAACCAAAAACTTGATGTATACCACTTCGACGTTTACGATTTCTTTTCTGTTGTTGTACATGTTGAATTAAAATATTTGAATCAATTGATTTATTAAGTTCTGACGGGTTTTTTCTATCTATAAAATCAACTAGTGTTGAGGGATTATTATTAGATAATAGTGATGAATAATTCAACGGAGAAACATCCAAATGTTTATGCATAAATCTGGTTTTTGATGAAGGTGGAGATGATGACGATAATGATGATGGATTATGTGATGGAAGTGATAAAAGGGGTGTTGAAGTGTTTGATAAAGTAGGTGTGCAAGCTGAAGTAAATGGTATGCTGCAGCATGCAGAAGAGGGATATGATGATATTGTTTTCAGAGATGTACAGAGCGGAAGGACAGAAGGTGAATAAGACGAAGACGATAAAGTACAAGAAGAGCATGAAGTTTCGTATAAAGAACATAGCCTCTCATTCGAAGAATCACTTTCTAGTTTACGTAATGGCTGATTGAAAAGATTACACGGTGAATATGATGAGTTATCTTGTACTAAATGATGGGATAATGATGGCAAATAATTAATTGGTTTATGGGATAAATAATTTGGCAGTAATTCGATTGTTGAACTGTCTTTACCAATCAAGGGAATAGAATATGAGTTAAATCGACTGTACTTTTCATCCTTACGTTTATCAATAACCCTGTCGACTGATGATTTCGGTTGCTGTTGCTTTACTCCATAATCAATAAAATTCAATCTGTTACCATGTTCTAGGAAGTCTGTTCGAGATGAGGATTCTATTGGTAAGTCTTCAATGTCAGGGTCGGTATCACGAATTGATAGAACATCACTAGCCTGAATAAAGTTTACATTTGTATTTCCATCAGCTGAATAAATCTGGCCACTCAGTTCTTTTAATTTTCCGGGATCTTTATGATCACTCTCTCTTAAACATTTTATACCTTCACATAGATCTGTACAACTTAGGAATGAGTCCAGTTGATGATGATGAGATTGCTGATAGTGTTCCCAACATATCGGTTGATGACTAACGTTATCCAACTCATATCGATCACCACATTTCATTATACGATGACAAATATTGCAGCAAAAGCAATCAGAATGAAATATTAATTGATTTATTGATCGTACTATTAATTCATTTGAACTGATTAATTGCTTACAGTATGTGCAAACAGGTCTAGATTTGAATGATCCGAAAATTCTGTAGAAATAATTTTGAGAAAAATATATGTTAAAGGTACTTAAGAACGTGGAAATACTTAAAAATGGAAAAACATTCTGTGAACATCAACAAAACATTATTTTTAGTTTAAAAGATTTGTGGAGAATGTCGAATTCTATTGCTTATATTACGAGCTGACCTTAGTTAGACAACCATAGGAAACCGAGGACAGGACATATGTTTCGTCTTAATATGAAACTTCTTGGCAGTACGCATTCACTATCCTACTAAGAACTGAACACAGGACCCTCAGATCTCTCAGCGGGCTCTTAAATTTCAGACTACTGAGGCAGAAACAAATGGATTAATACTTCTAACTTCATTCATTTCATGGCATTGCGCGATATTAGGTGAATGCTTCACAACTATATAATATAAAAATGGTAAGTACATGATCAATATTAATGGGATCTAATGGTTAAGCACTTACTATGAAATTTAAAATATGTTGAGTTAAGTCCTTGATGGATTCAAAATCATCAGAATTCTCATGCTAGAATAAAACAATTGTCTAATGCTTATTGATTTTTAATGTTTTTCTAAGATTAGTTCGTATTATGAACTATAAAAATATTTTACTCATTTTTACTCTATTCTCATATAGTAGATAATTGAATTTTTTAATGATATAAACTTTCTCTTAAATAATTTCCTTTTTTTTTAAAAAGTGATTCTGGTAGCAAATTCAATATAATTTTAACAGTTGAGATCATGAATCAATTGAAGCTAAACCACCATGGAAGATCTGGAAACACTGGACGGTCGTTTCGTCCTATTATGGCACTATTCACAAGTGCGTATCCACGATCCCGTACACTCAATTCGAAACCAGAAATTTCAATTTCGCGCAAGAACGCTTAACCTCCAAACCACTGAGCCTACATCCAACGGTGTCAGTGTCTAACTTGAATCGATACATGATCTTGCACAACCGTTCATCGATTGTTTGAGGTGGATAACTGTTTCCACGGAATACGGATTGGGCTGTACTGATCATGGCTTCTCATTAAAATTGCAGGAAACCCATTTTGAAGCTAGTGACTAGTAATCAGGATTGTGGATGCTCAGTGTTGGAGTCCCACAGTAGGAGAAAACGGCCATCCGGTGCTTTCAGGTTTCCAATGATGATATAACTCAAATCCATTCGTGAATTCAACTTTGAAAATACTACAATCTCCACAAATCCCCATTCTGATAATTATCAAATTATATCTTCGTAAGTTAACAAATTTTCAAAATTCGGATTTTCTGAAATATAGGTATGATTATTTTATGCTTATTCTGATGAATTTTTAAAACATTAGAATTCAAATAACATAAGCTTATATTATTTACGTCAACGTTAAAATAAACCCTCATATTACGAATAAAAGGTGTCCAGTGCTTTATGATTTATGATGATTATCTAACTAAAATCTATTCGTAATTTTAATAATAGAATTCAACTGTCTCCACAAACTCCTAACGGGGGGCGATAATCTCCACTTTTTAAAGTCATCTAAGTGTATTGTATTCAGTAGTTGTGGTTATGTTTTCGTTTATTTAGTCACTCAGTCATGGATATTTTGGAATTAAATGGAGATATGACTTTTGCTATGTTGTAATTTTTCTTCTATCATGGCTAACTACCTTACACTTGACACGTCCGTAGGATGATGGAGTGGTGTTTTCGTCATAGAAAATTTTACATTTTCCACGTAAGCCAGCAAGAACGATAGATAATAAAACATGCCTTCCAGTATGAATCACGATGGTGTAGACAATAATTTCTGCTTCATTTTGGTTGGTTGCTAGATGCAAGGTCGAAATTACGAACGAGAGTGGAGTTTATCCTCACCCATTCCTTACACTAATGAAAATTCTGATGTCAGAATTTCACGATAGCCCAAAAAATTTAGTATTATAGATAAATGTTATTTTAGGCCGAATTTCAACTGACTGACTCTAGGATTACAGCAACATAACTTCTGACAGTTAAATATTATATAATAATCCATACTGGAGGATTCATTGACTTATTACAAAAGAAAACTTGGTTATTAGAAAAATCCAATTCATTGACATTCCACTTATGAATCTATGCGATTAGAACTTTAAATAAAGTTAGTTTATTTGTTCAGTGATTGATTATGTTGCATAAGCCAATAGAATAGTCAACAAAACTTGACTTCTTAAATCCCACTGTATTTATCGTTTCGAATTGATTGTTCTAGAGTAATTAACTATGCATATCTATACTACATTACTGATATACCTCTAAAATAATAGTTTGTGTTCCTTGAAGTATTTATTTAATAAACATATGTATATATTTATATCATCTGTACTACAACATCAGTGAAGACATATGTCAGTGAAAATCAATCACTGTAATACTAACAAAATAAATATAATAATAGACACTTCAATCCACTTTGATTGGTGAATTCAATCTTCTTTTTTTTGCCACTCCCACTTTCAAATCCATTCCAAACAACATCTTCTTAATCGTCATCTTCAACTCTGTTAGTTGTTGTTAGAAAACACTTTTGTAACACCATTTCAACTTAAATATTGAACTATGCATATATATATATATATATATATATATATATATATATATATATGCATAGAGAGAGAGAGAGACTAATGCCTTTAGGGTAAATCACATGAAAAATGTTTTGATATTTTATGTATAAACCTTAATTATTGTTGTTGTTGTTCTTCTTCTTCTTCTTTACATAATGAAAGAAAACGTCTATTTCAGATCCTCACAATTACAAAAAAAAGAAGAAATAAAATTTCAAGATTAATAATAACAATGACCAAAGTAGTTTATGGAAGGGTGAATGTTGAAAAAAAAGGCAACAAACAGAGAAAGTTTATTAATTCTATGAAATAGAACATGGGCGAAGGGATGCATCATCTACAAAAAAAAAAGAAATTCATTGTTGTTTTCATTAAATCATGTTTATATTGTTGACATGTGTACATATTATCATCATCATCATCATCATCATACAGACTCCCCATGGTGAGTTGAGTGAGATCCACTAATGAGGGATTAGTTTTTGAAAAAAATAAAAAACAGTAAATAATTAATGTATATTCGAATAGACGAAAACTTTAAGTAGATTATTAAGCATGGAATACAGTAAGTAGGTTTTCTTTGTTGATTATTTTAATAATGAAAATAAATAAAAAATAAAAAAAATATTTGTTTGTAAATGAAAGATACATCATTAGTCATATGAATTTATCATTGACTAAAGAAAAAAATGTGTTCCAATTGAATTTTTCAAATTATGATTAGGTATATTGAATGTTGGTTAACATTGAAATATATATGGAAACAAAAATGTTCTCATCTATTTACTTACTGTTTAAAAATCAATTTTAAATTATTTGATCGATAGTCATTTAATTTTTTTTTTGTTTTTTTTTGGTTTTTAGAGGGAAAAAAAAAATTATTTTTTTATTGTTGAATTGAACCGAAAAGTTATCAAAATTAAATCAAGTGTAAAAAAAATTTTTTTTTAAACATTATACATAACTACAAATTATGATTACCATGTTAAGGTACACATTAACATACATCGTTTTATATCCACACAGGATTTATGAAGATATATATATATATGTGTGTGTGTGTGTTCATGCATCAGTGTGCATATAAACACAAGGGATTATTATTGAATTAAGAATATTTTTTTCAAAAAAAATTCACTACTCATTTGTTATATAATAGTTAAATCAATGTTCTATTAGATATTCTTGTATTTTCATAGTTTAAATCATGAATCAATTGAAGCTAGATCACCATGGAAAACCTGAAAGTACTGGATAGCCAACTCGTTCTATTGTGGGACTCCTTACTAATGTGCATCCACGATCCTGTCTCACGAGATTCGAACCCAAGACCTATCAGTCATGCGCCAAAGTACTTAACCGATAAACAGAGTTCTAGTGGGAAGCAGTGACCAGTGGAGTTCAATCATTGCTGTTGCGAAATATCAACTCACTGAAAACAATTGATGAACGGTTGATCAAACTTCATGGATTGGTTGAAATTAGACATTAACACCGTTGGATGCCGGCCGGTTCAATGGTCTATTGGTTAAGTGCTCTGGCGCGAGACTGATAGGTCCTGGATTCTAATCTCGTGAGACAGGATCGTGGATGGGCAACGCTAAGGAGTCCCATGATGGGACGAAACGGCCATTCAGTTCTTCCAAGTTTTCCATGGTGGTCTAGCTCCAATTGACTCATGTTTTCAACTATGAAAATACCGAAATCTCTACAATACCTCTTCATATATTCTTGTGTTTATTTTGATAAATGATTATGTATAATGAAAACAATGATACTAGTAAAAACAGATTTCTTTGTTTTTATTAACTTTACTTACAATTTTTGTCAGTTTAAATGAAGAAAAAAAATCAATGTAAATAAAACTACTGAAAAATATAATGATTGATGATAGATTACATGTCTTTTAAGAGGAAAGGCAAATTTTTTTTAATTTTTACTCATCTATTTATTACTCCATCATGTTAACTAATTGACTGATGTGATCTTATAGAAAAATACTCTTTTTATATAAATTACCCCCCCTAAAAAAACATTCATGTCTAATAGTTTTGACATTTCCCTATAATGATTGAACAATGAAAGTACTCTTAAAGACATTTACACTTACACTTTTTTTTATTTTAAATGTGTTATAATTACGATTATTGTTATTGATGACATAATGGAGTTTCTTCATATACAGAAATTTACGAAAAATGTACTAATTAATTCATCATACTTTGTCATTTAATTTTTATGGGTTGTTCTTATAAAAAAATTGAATCAAGGATCAAATAAACAAACATAATCACAATTGATTGATCATTGGGTGGTGATCAATGTCATACATGTCAAGTCCTTCTTAATGTTGATCGAATACTACAGCTCAGTCCTACAGGAGGTCGGTCGCGGCCCGAATAGCTCAGTGG